GGGGAATAGTGCAAGTCACTTTGTTAACCTGGCACAGTTTAAGATAACTCCAATGAAGAAAGTCCAATTTCCTGATTCTCTCAGCCAAAACAAGCAAACATAAGTTGGTTTGATCTAACAGCAAGCTCTAGGGAACTTATCCACTTAGAGTTGAAAAACTAGAACAAGAACCAGAATTTTTATTGCAAAAAGGGAATTTAGACTGACCCATGACCTCATTTTATAGTCAAGAAAAGTACAGTGACTTGCCCCAAATCATACAGTAAGCAGCAAGTTTATCTGTTTCCTTATGTAGATAATTATTGAAATAAATAGTTTTAAATCTTATTCAGGGTTAGCAATTAATAGACATCAAAGCCTGTGAAAGTAATTTTCTTCTCTTATTAGCTGAAATACTGTAATTTTAAAAATGGTCCATTTTGACTTGGATCAAAATCATAGGCACAATGTATCTGATAAAGATAAGCAGACTACTGGCTTGATTTCTCAAAGAAGAAAAATAATTGTACATAGAATTTTTCATAGCCCAGTAATAATACTTCTAGAATTCACTCCAGGTGCAGAAAAAAAATGTTTTTCCAATCCTTTTCAAGAAATAGAAATCAAGATAAAATTTTTCACACTTCTTCATTAATTAGATCCCCAGGGTAGAATGAAAAAATACTTATTTTTTAGGATATCACAGGATAGTATATTTACATTATTTCATGCCCCTAAATTAGATAAGATATAAAAATTATAAAACCTTAATCAAGCAAATATCTTTATCTTATTTTTTCTTATCAAAATCATATTTTAGGATATTGAGGTTGACTCAACAGATGAAGTCAAAAGAGAAAAAAAAGCACCCACACACATTTTTTAAAAATTAGTCAATATTAGCAATAATATTTGAAGCAAAAAATTCACAAAAAATTTGTAGCTGATTCTAAAACAAAAATGAGTTTCTCCCTTACATTCTTTTCCTGGGGATTCTTGGGTGGAGGTGAGCAGAGTCTGGCAGCAATGGTAATGATCCATTGTTTCCCCAGTGAGGACAGGAAAAGGCTATGTGCCTCCACTAAGAAGGGATTTCTAAAGGCTTGGTCTGTTCCTTCCCTGTCTTCCCTTTTCTGTAATGAAATCATTTCATTTTCAAACCCTGCTCCATATCTGGCTAAGAAGCTACAACTTTCCAAAGCTTTCTCACCATTTTAATAGGCCCAAAAACCTTAAATTTAACTACAAACATTACAATGATTTATCTCTACCTATTTCCCATTACCATCCTGACCTCATCTCTGAAATCCATGAATATGGGGCAGGCGTTGTGGCATGGTAGGCAAAGCCTCCACCTGTAGTGTCGGCATCTCATTTGTGCACTGGTTAGAACATCCCAGCTGCTCCTCTTCCAATCCAGCTCTCTGCTTATGGCCTGGGAAAGTAGTGGAAGATGGCCCATGTGCTTGGGCCCCTGCACTTGCATGAGAGACCCAGAAGAAGCTCCTGACTCCTGCTTCGGATTGGTCAGCTCCAGCTACTGTAGCCATTTAGGGAGTGAATCAGCAGATGGAAGACCATTCTTTCTCTCCCTCTCTCTGTCTGTAACTCTACCTCTGAAATAAATAAATAAATAAAATATTTTAAAAAAAGAAAAAAGAAATCCATGGATATGCAAGGTCTTCAAAAAGTTAATGGGGAATATATGAAAAAGCTATTCATTGATTGATTTCAAATTTTTTGCACCAAAATGAACTCATATTTCATTTCCAATTTCCATGAACTTTTTTGAAGCACTCTCACATTTGCATAAAAAAAATTACTCCAATTTTGGTAGATAACACCAATGTCTATCAATTATTTATTAGATATGGAAAACACAAAACCATATACAAATAAAGACAGTAAAAAAAGCATGGTCTTTGTTTTCAAGGAGTCTAGCTAGAGTAACAGAGCTAAAACATATGGAATAATTAGTTAATAACATAGGCAGCAGTGGGTATGATCATTAACTAATTAGGTTTATTTGTGTATGACTCACAGAAACAGCCTTGTTATTCCTGATTATACGCAGTATATAACTAAATGCTAAAGTGAATGGTACAATCTGTTTCATGCAGGTTCAGAGGGGAAAACAATGAATGAGTTATAATACTAGGAAGAGACTCTGGGCAGGAAGCAAGGCTCACCGTGAGTTCTGTGGATCTGAGGGCATGTACCGGCAGGGATCAGCAGTGAGCATGCCAGATGAGGTGGGTTTCATGACAGGGCATAAAAGCATGTGAGGCACAGTGAGAAACCTGTCCTAAATGGAACAGATGGTATTCAGGGTTGAGCACCAGGGATCTGGAGTGGAGAGTTTGAGTAGAACTAGAATAGAGAGAATATAACCTTCTGAGCAGGGGCTCATGTCTAGATAGAATTTCACAGCACATGCTGTTGGTGCCCAGCCTGAATGCCCTGGAACCCTTCTACTGGTCTGATATACTCCTGGCATTGCTCTTAGCGATTCACACCGGCTACTCTGCAGAAGCAACCGCAGCTACTTCCTAGTTCTCCTATCGGCTCCCTCACACACACTTCCAGGACAAGTGGTAGCCAGTAACTAACAAACGCATGGAAGGAAGCAAAAAAGCCCAGTTCCCTTGCCTCAAGACACAACAGATTCTATGGTGCAGTTTTGTTCCCGAGTTCCTGCTGGATCAAGTGAGGCTAGACATTCTCTAAAATCACACGTCTGTTCATCTCAGCCTCTTCTGCTTCAATATCCTTTTCATTCACTTCTTCTCAAGTAACATTTGAAAGGACTTCCTTAATGTATCTCTGACTAAAGAAAGTCTGTAGGGGTGTGTACTACATAGTCATGAAGAAAACACATTTACAAAGACAGGAGTTGTGAAGGCAGTAACGTCGTAGGCAGTTCAGTCTGATAGAATGCAGAGCAGTTTGGTGGGAAGTGTGCTAAAAGAATAACTGGAGGCCAATTAAGGACACTGTTCACATTCAGAAATATTTGTTGATAGGAGATAGATAACATAAAGAGACAATGTCCTTCGTATAGGAAAGAATCAAAGATAACTCCCCAGCGTTGTATTTTTTCCTTAAAAGGCAAAAGTATTACTTTAGTAGCACTATCAATCTTATACCATGAATTGTCTTAAATGTACAAATTGTCTTAAATGTACAAACTTAAATGTACAAAACAGGCACACATTATCTAACACAAAAAGCATTCAAAAACATGAAGAGAGTCACAGCAAATAATCAAGGAACCTTTAAAATTCTCCCTCTTGTTTTTGGTGCCTGAATACCTATATTCAGAAACATGCAGATAAGATTTAAGTGGAATCCTCAAATATTTATAACAAGTTGGTTTGTTAGATTTTGTATTTAGCAACTCAAAAAGAGCCTTTATTAGAGTTGGTAGCAGATTTCTTAAATTAGAAATATATCCAAACAGGGTAACATCTGGTTTTCATCTATCCTTATGGAGTCCAGTATATTTTCAACAGAAAACATGATACTGGGTCCTAGGTCATAAAATAAGGAGCACAATGTGAAAATAAGCAGACTGGTATAAAATAAATGATACACAGCCTTACATAAACTTCTAAAATTTTAGAATGTAAGAAACATCCCATCATCCATATTTGTTTTGTTTTCTGGTATCTCAAGTTAAACTAACTTTTGTATTACATATCTCAATGTATGAAAGTATACTAAAGTATACTACTAAAACAATTTTTTTAATAATAGTTTTTCCTCAATGACTACTTTCCTATGTTTTCATCAAAATGTATACTTTCAAAATTAAATTTAAAACACACAATCATGATGCACTAATCCACTGAAACAAATTTCCTTGAATTAAAAAAGAAAAGAAAAAAAGAATAGTTAGAAAGTCACTATACATTAAAGAAGATTTGTAAGTCTACATCAGTCGAAAAATAATTGCTGTAAAAATTAATTTCCTGTTAAGACCAAACTGACAATCAAGCAATCGAATATTATTAGTACCGTATAAAGCCTATCAGCATCAATCCCTGAACAGAAGGAGCAAACAGAGAAGCATTCCCAAGTGCTTTCCACAGAACACCAGTCTCAGAGGGGGTCACAAGATACAAAGTTCCCATTGCCAAAAACCTTCAGGAGGTTCCCCATATTCTGTTCCTCTCTCAGAGAGTCACGATATTCATGATAATTTATGGGAGACAAAGAGATTTGGTAGGGGTGGGGAATAAATGATGTTTTACAAATTTGACTTAAATTCATCAAAAACAAGACTTGCTTCAAATTCTCCAGAACTAACTGCTAAACGATCCTATTGTATGCTACCTTTCTTATAATTTTAAGGATTCAAAGCTATTATTCTATCATCCTCTCACAATTGCTTTTGTCTTTTCTCTTCCTCTAAAATACTGCAATAATTCTAATTTTATAATTCATTATATTAACGGAAAATTTCACCAAATATAAATCTGGATCCTTACTTTCAGCAACTTTGATTCAGTATAAGAATTAGTAATTTTAACAAGTGTTTCAGGTAATTTTAATGCATATCAAACATTGGGATGTTCCAAAACTTGACATATTAAAAGTAACTTTTCTACTCAGAAAAACAAAAACAAAAAAAATGGAAGACACAAACTAAGGAAAGCCAAACCATACTTCAAAAAAATACTCTCTAATAGACTGTTCAGACTATTAAAGCCAAGAATTTCACTATGATAAGAATTCTTAGCCTATACTCCACTAAGAAATTTCAAAAATTATTGAATTCTCTGACATTGTGCATCTAATTTTTACGAGTATGTGAATACATGCCTCTTAATTGGGAAATAGTCCAAAGGTTTCAGCATTTTCATACTGCTCTACTATCCAGTTTAAGATCTATTTTTTTATTTATCTACCTGAAACAATGGGAGTAGAAACTGCCTCTGAGTTAACATCATCAATCAGACATGAAAAACACATTCCTCAGTGCTGTTTTCTCTCTCAGAGCCAAACAAAAAGCAATTTACCTCTGCAGAGTCATATTCAAAGAGCCTGTACAACCCTTAATCTTGTTCTGGGCTTCAAGATGAGTCATTCCATGCGCACTTATTCCATCGATGCTGAGAACCACATCACCTATTCTCACATTGGCCTGGGATGCCTTGCCGCCATCTTTCAGCTGAAAGAAACATGTTTCATTAAGAATGTCACTCTTTAAAAAAGAAAGAAGAATAGAAGCAGATAAAATTATATTTTCACTTATACAAAAGAAATTTATATTAATATATTAGAGTAACACAATATTATCTTGTTTACCAATGTAAAGGTACAATTCAAATAATGTTAAAGGCTATTTTCTTAAATTCTTATTTGTTCTATAAAAATCTGATATTCTTTTCTGAGAAAAGGTCCTTTATAATGTGTCCTTTTCTTTATTGGGCAACAGTACTATGTGACCATAGTGAACAAGAAAGATATAGACTTAGGAGATTTCACATTTTAGCAGGAGAAAAAGAATGTAACCTAAATAGGATGTCTATACTTTTAAAAGTAACTTTTTAAATCTTCAAACAGCTGCATTTTTGTTTCAACACAAAGAATAATAGAGAAAGAGGGTCTACTGAACAGTAGTCCTTCCTGTTGAGTCCGATTTGTAGCCAGTGTTTGGGGACGGAATTCTTTTAGATCACAGGCCCAAATATCTTTTACTCTGGGTGTGCTTCCTCCTGTAGGCTTTTAGCAGGAAGGGAAGGAAACCATTGTATGAGACTGCCTGGATTTTTTTGTTATCATAGTCCTTAGTAACTAATCTTTCTTTCCTTGCTCAATAAAATTTTGTATCTGTTTGCATTATTTAGTTTGAGCTCCTTCAAATTTTATGTGTATACCTTTGAAAGAAGCAAACATAAAATTACAACAAAATGAAAGATGATGCAACTTTCAAATACCTCTAGAAACTGAAACAAACACAAATCAAAAGAAACCATTCTAAATCAAGTGGTAAGATCAGCATTCAATAAATACAAGCAGATCACACTGAATATTGGAAAATAAGTGAGACTGGACCCCAAAAAAGAAAGAAATAGAAGTAATCAATATTCCTCTAACACTTGAAACCAAAGGTTTTATATACACTTTCTATTTGGTATGCTGGAAAAGTTGTAGAAATAGATGGTACTGATGACTGTACAACACTGTGAAAGCATTCAGGTACCACAACTGAATTGTATACTTAAAAATAATTAAAATGACTAACTTTATATTATGTGTATTTTGTACAATTCAAAAAATTAACACTTTGAGAATATTTTACTAAAAAGTTTGATAACAAGAACAAACACAAAACAAAATCCTCAGATCACTGAATAAGAACTGAGTGCTACATTTCATACTTTGGAAGCAAAGTGATAGAATAGCCATTGTATGTTCAGTCAGGTTTTGACTGCCATCAATTATCAAAATCTTTATTTAAAAATGATTATCAGGAAGATGAGTTCCAGTACACGAAAACAAGTACTTAGATATAAAAATCGGGGCCGGTGCTGTGGCTAAGCCTCCACCTGTGGTGCCAGCAATCCCCTATGGGCACCCTTCGTGTCTCAGCTGCCTCTCCTCCAATTCAGCCCTCTGCTTACAGCCTAGGAAAGCAGTGGAAGACAGTCCAAGTGCTTGGGCCCCTGCAACCACATGGGAGACCCAGAAGAAGCTCCTAGCTCATGGCTTCAGATCGGCCCAACTCTGGCCATTGCAGCCATTGGAGTGAACCAGCAGAAGAAAGAACTTCCTCTCTGTCTCTCCCTCTGTCTGTAACTTTGCCTCTCAAACAAATAAAAAAAGAATTTTTAAAAAATAAAAATCAACAAAATAAAGACTAGTGCTGTGGTGTAATGTGTAAAGCACAGACTGCAGTGCCAGCATCCCATATGTTCACCAGTTCGATTACTGGCTGCTCCACTTCTGTTCCAGCTCCCTGCTAATGCACCTGAAAAGTGTGCAAGGAAAGAAAGTACCCAAGTCCTTGAGTCACTGCATTCATATGGAAGACCCAGATGAACCTAACGGCTCCCTGCTTCAGCTTGGCCCAGCCCTGGGGGTTGTAGCTATTTGGGGAGTGAAAGAGTAAATGGAGGAGTCCCTCTCTCTCCCTCCCTCTCTAACTCTGCCTTTCAAATAAATGAATAAAATCTTAAAAAAAATTTTTTTAAATCAAGAAAACACTATTGACTGCTAGATGCATCGCATCTGGAACCATGTCTGTTTCCTTCCCATGTAACACAATATATGCTAAATGAATGGATGCCACAACATTTATTATTCAACACGGGCAAAATCTTTGACTTGTTTTAAATAGTGAAACTAAGAAAAACTAAAATCTAATACAGGGCCGGTGCTGTGGCTCAGCGGGTTAAAGCCCTGGCCTGAAGCACCGGCATCCCACATGGGTGCTGGTTCTAGTCCCGGCTGCTCCTCTTCCAATCCAGCTCTCTGCTAGGGCCTGGGATAGCAGTAGAAGATGGCCCAAGTCCTTGGACCCCTGCGCCCACGTGGGAGACCTGGAAGAAGCTCCTGGCTTCTGATTGGTGCAGCTCTGGCCATTGCAGCCATGTGAGGAGTGAACCAGAGGAAGACCTCTCTCTCTGCCTCTACCTCTCTCTGTAACTCTTTCAAATAAATAAAATAAATCTTTTAAAATATATATATATATATATAATTTGAAACCAACATATTAACAAGTGATTGACAGAGTTCTTGAAATGAATAAGAAAAAAGTACCCACAGCAAGAATATACATGTGTGTGTATGTGTGTGTGTGTGTAATCTCAGAAACAGACATAAGGTACCAAGAAAAATTCTGCCATCTCACAGATTATGAGACTTTAACAAATGTATGTAAAAAATTTTTTCACATTGAAATTATACAGACATTTGATAAAATAAAGCCTTGTTAGCTTGATATTTTAAGGAACTGAAACCTAGCAATCTTATTTGAGAGTTTATTTACAACTGCCTTTGGTAGATTCTGATGAGAGTGGAACAGGAGCCATATACCTGGATGGAATGTGCTGTGTCACACCAAAGAGGGGAGTTTTGCAAACGCATGTCACCTAGGTTTCAAATTCTGCTGTACGGCCAGTTTGCTTTCATCAACTGAAATACCCATAGGAGATCCTGGTGACCTAAGCTAAGTTGCACTTAACAGTGTCAAGCTAATGAGGTTCTATTATAGAGCTATTTACTTTTAACCTGAAGGAAAATATGTTTAGGGCTTCTCAACACTAAAGAGAAAATTTTGGCTTGGACTAATGTTCAGTCTGGTGCCAAATTTCCAGTGGAATTCCAATTCACGTAATCTATTGAATTTTATTCATGGAGGGTATTCTAATAGAGTGATCCTTCACTGCTCAATTGAACTGTCTTAAAATTTCCTGTTCCAAACAGCTATGTTACTTGATTAAAACAATTAAAATTTTTTAAAAAATTAAAAAAAAGAAAATATTAATTGTTCTCTCTACACAGAATTAAATTATTTAAATAATGAAGTAGATTTACAAAGAAAACAATTCCTTAGGACAGCTATGCTATTCATTTTGTATAGGACTACGGGAAGGTCACTTCACTCAAATTAAAGGGTTGTTATAGTTATTACAAGACATAAGAGCTCAATAAGTATTGACTGTTATTACTCCCTTGGCTTTGTTTTACTAACATGAGAAATGTGGGGGCAGTACTAGGTAATCTCAAAGGCCTCCTACAGCTGCTGCTAGTTTAAAAGTTTATCTGTGAGCTAGTTGTATAAAGTTATAGCTATAACCCCAAAATAAAAGTCAAATCTGTAAAACTTTGTGGGTGGTACAAAGGGATATCTATCGTCTATTAAGTTCAGCAAAGGAATAAAAATTGGGATTTTGATAATGAAAGAAACTATAAACACAATTTATCCTAGTTTTGAAGAAGAGCAAGCATAAAAAAAAAAAAAAAAGTTAACCAGAAATGAAATGCACCTAAGTTACTTTTACCATTCTCATTTTACTGAAAACAGTAAAATCTACAGGCATTCACTCTATATGTATCCAACAGAAACAATTCAAATATTCCCATTCTAGTGGTAAAATAAAGATAATGAACAAAGTAGAAAGAATAAATCAAAGAAAATGTAATAACTAGATAAACTTTTTGAATTACCTTGCTCCAGCTGCCTACTAGAATCTGAGAGCCTACCACATCTCAAGACGTTGAAAACCAAATGCTCAGAATTACTGACTTCTAATGCTTTTATTTTCATTTATTTACAGCCTTTTTAATTTAAAAAACTTACATATTTTTCACTTTTGTAAAGACAGAGAAAAATATCTTCCAAACACTGGTTCACTGCCTAATGCCCGTAACAGCTGGGAGCTGGACCAGCTGAAGCCAGTAATCCAGAACCCAGTCCAGGTCTCCAATGTGATTGTCAGGGAACCAAGTTCTTAAGGCATCACGTGCTGCCTCCTAGGATGTGCATCAACCAGAAGCTGGATCAGAAATGGAGCTGGGTCTCAATTCAATCACTCAGATATGAGATATATGCATAGGTGCATATATGGCTTAAACACTGACCTAAACACTCTTATGGGGCTACTTTTATTCTTTTTTTTAAAGATTTATTTTATTTATTTTAAAGACAGAGTTACAGAGAGAGGTAGATACAGAGAGAAAGGTCTTCCATCTGCTGGTTCACTCCCCAGATGGCCGCAATGGTCGGAGCTGAGCCAATCTGAAGCGAGAAGCCAGGAGCAAGGAGCTTCTTCATGGTCACCCATGTGGGTGCAGGGGCCCAAGGACTTGGGCCATCTTGTACTGCTTTCCCAGGCCATAGCAGAGAGCTAGATCAGAAGAAGAGCAGCCAGGACTAAAACCAGCACCCATACGGGATGCTGGTGCTTCAGGCCAGGGCTTTAACCCACTGCACCATAGCGCTGGCCCGGGGGCTACTTTTATTCTAAATGCCTCCCTTATTTTCAGATAGTCCCATGGATTCTACCACTTCCATGGGTACCACATCTAGGAAAATTACCAGACTTTATCAATTCTCCCATTCCTCTCCCATGCCAGTCCATTAACTTTCACCTTGACCTTACTTACTGTTGCCTAATTAGCCTAAGAGTTTTCTGAAGACCTACCCTACCTTCAGAGTCTCCA